TGCTCCATCACACCTCCCATCCAGCGCCATCCCACCCCACAGACGGTTGCTGCTCACCAGATTTAAACACTGGTGCAATGCTGGTGCAGAGGGCCTACCTCACGCAGGGGTCTAAATTGACAGCCAGGCATTTCTTCCTCGCCTCCCCTAATCTGGAGGCTCCACTAAAAACTGTCTGGCAGCGCCGGGTACTGGTGGGTGATTGTGCGGGTGGTGCCCTGGCTGGGACGGGGACCTGAGGAGGCTGCCCCTGAGCCCGCAGGTGCCACATGCAGTTACACACACACCCCTGCCCCTGCCCTGCTGTCTGTCGGCTGGACACTGTCAGCTGCTCACTTCGACTCATGGCAGCCACTCCCCCCGATTTTCACCCCCCACAACATCATGGAACAAGTCTGCCCACAGAGTCCCCAAGGCTGCCATCCTGATCTTGATGGGGCAGGCCGTCACCAGGTCTTTTCTCCCTCAGACCCGTTAGGTGGGTTCAAACCGCTGACCTTTCTGTTAGCAGTGGGGTCCCTGATCCCTGTTCCCCCAGGGCTCCTCAGCGCTGCCTGCCACAAAACCCACCCACCAAACCCATGCTGCAGAGCTGATTCAAGCTCAGGGCAGCGGGACGCGGGGATTCCGAGAGCGTTCGTCTGTGCAGGGGCAGACGGCCTCAGCTCTCCCCTTGGGACCAGCTGATGGGTTTGAACTGCCATGGCCTTGCAATTAGCCACCCCATGCCTAGCCTATGGCCCTGCAGGGCTCCTAAGGGTTGGATTCCAGCTTGTACAGGGGCGAGAGGATGGCGCCCAATCGTCCCTGCTGGTCTCTGGGGCTGTAGATCCCCACGGGAGCTCCTGAGAAGTAGCTGGTGGGTCTGAACCAGGGGTGCTGCAGTTAGCAGCCCAGCGCCTGACCCACAGCACCACCAGGGCTCCTCGGAGCCACCCGAGGACGGAGCAATTCTGCTCCCAGGGGTGCACCCACAAAGAAGCCGACTGGACGGGAGCCTCGGTCCAGTAGCCAGCAAGGTCCCGGCCCCCAGTCTACGACCCCACTCACCTGGGCACGCTGCAGCTTCTCAGCAGTCTCCGCCCGGGCACGCTCCCCATCGCCAGCCCGGCCCTGCACCTCCTGCAGCTGGGACTCCAGGCGGCGCCTGCGCTGTTCGCCTTCCTGCCGGGCCGCCTGCAGGTTGCCCAGCTCCGCCCGCAGCTCCGCCACCTCGGCCTCCAGGACCAGCCGGGTCTTGTCCCAGGCGCCTTTGCCCTGGTTGGGGAGGGCAGGAGGAGACCAGCACTTGTTTCTAAGCGTCCCCTCTCCGAGCCACCAGGCCAGGGACCCCAGGGTGCAGTGAGGGGAAGTGGGTATCTTTTAGGCTTTTGGAATGCCTTGCTCCTCTCTCTGGGATACACCGGATGCAGCGTCAGGGGGCAACCTCACCCGAGGCCAAGAGCCCTATCTGGCCTCCTCACAGTTCCTGCAACAGCCACGCAACCTCCTACCCCAGGGCCTTTGTGCAGGCCGCACCTGCTGCATTCAGGTGACATCCTACCTCCGGACCTTTGCGTGGGCTGTTCTCTCCCTGACGCCCCCACCCCCACCCCACCTCCTTCCACTCAGCTGCCACCTTCCTCTCTGGCCACTCTTTAGACTCGCACCCCCTTCAGCACACGGGGAGACCATCTTCCTGTTCCGGGTTCCCCCAGAGCTGAGCGTCTGTGGTGTATCTAATGTACTCTGATGTGCTCACAGTGTGGGGCTCTGGTAGGGTAGCTCCCCACTGCACGCCCTCCCCTCCCTTCCACTCCCGAATGCAGCAGGCCCTCAGCGGCCGCTTGTTTTGTAAGAGACGGAAGGAAGGGAAGGGAAGGGAAACACACACACACACACACACACATACACACACACCCCTCTCTCTCTCTCTCTCTCTCTCTCTCTCTCTCTCTCTCTCTCTCTCTCTCTCTCACACACACACACACACACACACACACACAACAACACTCTCTCTCTCTCTCTCTCTCCCCTCCAACCCCCACATCCTCCTGGCCGCTCCGCTCGGCTCACCCGCCGGGCCTGCTCCAGCTGCTCGGACAGCTCCCCGATTGCCTGGCCATGGCGCTGCCGCAGCTCCTGCACGGCCGCCTCGTGTGTCTTGCTCTCCTCCTCCAGAGCCTTCTTCAGCTCCGTCACCTCCTGTTCCCGCTTGGACCTTTGCGTTGGGGGCGGAAGGGAAAGGGAGTCTCAGGGCAGAGGCCTGGGCTCTGGGTGGGTTCCGGGTGGCTGGCTGCGCCTTCTCTGCCACTTGCTCCAAGGCTGCGGCCCCCGCAGCACCCTCCTCCAGGAGACAGAGGGTGGCTCTGAAAGAGAACTCCTATGCATCTGTCAAAACCCTGCTCCGATGACCCATCTCGGGGAAGTCTTAGTAGAGGCCCCTCCCATAGACTTGACCTAGGGCCCCTGCCCTCTTCATCTCTGCTGGCGACCTGGTGGCCCAGTGGTGAGGCTTTGGGCTGCCAACTGCAAGGTCAGCATTTTGATACAACCAGACCCTCCAAGGGAGAAAGCCCGGGCTTTCTATTCCCGTCAAGAATGACAGCTCTGATAGCTGGTCTCAGAGCCCCCCGGGGAGGAGTTCTGTCGGGTGGCTGTGAGTCTCATTGACTCGAGGGCAGGGGGGTTTCTCTCTATCCTCAAGGATCCTGGGGGTGTACTTTCTTACACAGTGAGCTGCTAAGCCCGAAGTTGGATCCGTGGGAGAAAGAGGAGGCTTTCTACTCCCATAAAGATGGACGGTCTCAGCAACTCACAAGGGCAGGTCCACTCTGTCCTCGGGTCAACTGGAGTCGGAATCGACTCGATGGCGGTGCATTTGTTTGTGGGGTGGGGGCGGTGTTGCTCTTCATCCTCAGTGACCTCTTACGGCACGGAAGCAAGCTCTGTCCTCGGCTGGGTTTGTCTGTCCCGAGGCGGCCACCCTGGCCCTGTCGACTAGGAGCCCTGCGTCATCGCAACCTGACTCAGACCCCTCTCTGTCCCCTGACGACTGGCCCAGGCTGGATGCCCAGCTGGGGAGCCCCGGTGATGTAGGGTGCTACGGCTCACCAGAAAGTGAGCTGTTCGAACCCAGGGGCTGCTCTGAAGGAGAGGGCTGAGGCCGTATGCTGTCAGGATGACAGCCTGGGGCACCTGGGGATGCTTCTGCTCTGGCTGGAGGGTCGCTGAGAGTCAGTAGGGACTGGTGGGTAAGGGGCTTGAGGCCCTGTGGTAAACTGAGGGACTGGATGAGAATGCCATGCAGCTAAATCCTCTGCGCTCCGAAGGGCAGGTCTGGAAAGGTGATACCAGTAGGGGGGAGACCCTCACGGTCATGAACCAGAAATAAGTCTTAGTCCACATTCTCATGACTGGACACAGTCCCTCCAATAACCACCACCCCCCATCCCAATAAAGGAGCTGTCATAAAGGAGCTTCCATAAAGGATGAATCATTTCTGCATCTGGCTATCCTCTGTGCCTGGAGGTGGTCTGTAGAGAGGAGCCATCAGATTCTATAAGTGAGCCACCGTAAAATGTTGCAAACCCCTGGGGAGCGTTCCAGGGGGTTAGGGGTCAACTAGCACTAGGTCAAGACCAGGACTGGCCTCATTGCTTGTCTATTATGTTATGCATTTATGATCTCACCCATGGACTTTGTAATATGTTAGCTGTGTGGCGTGCGTGCCTATGAAAGACCTGTAAGCCCCGTTACATATGCCCATTGGAAAATGCCTCTGTGCCCCGCTGTCTCTCTGCCTTGAATATTTTCCACGATCGCAAAGCTGCTCCTGAGGACCCATTCAAGTGTTGGGGTCCCCCTCACCCCAACACAGCCCCACTCATGGAAGTGGGTACGTCAGTTCCACAGAACACCTGCCAGGTCAGCAAATCTCACGTGTTACACAGCAATCGCATGAATTCCGTTCCCCATGATGCTCGACATCCCCTCCAATAGTGCCTGGTTACCCTCATTCCCATCACAATAACAAAGGAATGACGAGGGGGAAACCCACAACTCGAAACAAGTAAATTAGGAATTGAAATTAGCTTGTCCCTGAGCGCTGATGGCCACCTTTAGTGGGAGAGAAGAGATGGGAATGCAGGGGGCAGGAGTGGTGGAAACCATGGCCCCGGAAGGTGTACGGAGCGACAGGTGAACTGGCATCTGGTCCACTAGGCATGCTCCCGACAACAGACACAGAAATAGCGTACTAGCTGGCCCCACCCCTATGCCGCTGGCCACACCCACAGCCCTCCCACTCCTTATGGCCCCCCTCATTGCTCCTCTATCCAGGTCTTCGCTCACCTTCCGACCCCACCCCATGCCCTGCCCCTTTCGTCTCCGGCCCCACCCACACCGGGTGGCCCCACCCACAAGCTCCACCCCCACTCATCTCCCCTCTGGTCCCAGGCATCACCCGCCCCACCCTTCCAGCCACGCCCCTCACCTCCCGCCCCATGCCCTGCTCACTTGGGACTCTACAGCCCCACCTTACACACACGCACATGCACGCACACACACACACACACACACACACACACTCATCTGGGCCAGCCCCACGGCTCTTCCCCCCTGGCCCCGCCCACGCCCCGCCCTTCTCCCGCCTGGCTCCGCCCCCTCCCGCTCCGCCCGCGGGCTCCAGGCCTCACCGTAGCTCCAGCTGCACGTTGGTGGAGTCCAGCGTGTCCTCCAGCTCGCCCCGCAGCGCCTCCAGCTCCTCGCCCAGGTCCCGGCGCTGCTTCTCGGCCTTGGCCCGGGCCACCCGCTCCGCCTCCAGGTCCTCCTGGGCCTCTGCCATCCCCGCCTGGGCCTCCCGCAGAGATTTGAGCAGCTGGGCGCGCGCTCCGCCTTCTTCCTCGGCCCTAGGGGCCGACAGGGGCAGGAAGTGGCATAGGGGGCGCAAGCAGGGTGGCGGGGGACCTCCCGAGGTGGCGGCCAGTCCGGGGTTCAAATCCGGACTCTGTGTGCCACCACTGCTCTGGGCTTCAGTGCTCCCAGCTGTAAAATGGGGGCGCACCAACATTTAGGCAGCCGATATGGCCCCTGCCGCTTGTCCCTCATCTAAGCCGCCTGCCAAATACCACACACTGAAGGGGGACATCAAGGGACAGAGGGACATCACTTGCCCAAGGCATAGGGCCCAGTGGTGGCAGGGTGGGCCCAAGGACTCCCTGTTGGAGACCCCGCTGAGACAGACCCAGCCTCCAGTCCCTCCCTGCAGGGTTGCTGTGAAGAACAGTCCGATCCCATCCAGAGGCAGGCTGATCAGGGGAGGGGGGAGTGTTCAATTGCCCCAGGAAGCCGTAGGTGTGACTCTGGTGAGGGACTGAACCCCTCTCAGTGTGGGGTTCCTGGTCAGCGAAGAGGAAACGACCCCCTCAACAGGCAGAGCTGCTGAAAGGACAGCAACAAAGCCCGATGGCCAGGGGGCTCTGATCCCACTTAACACCTGGAACAGAAGCGGCAAGTCCATAGAGACAGAAAGGAGCCGAGTAGCTGCCCAGAGGATGGATGGCAGGCGGGTTAGAGCGCTGGCCGCTAGCCTCAAGGTCAGCGGTTTGAATCTACTGACTGCTCCATGGGAGAAAGATGAGGCTTTCTGCTCCAGTCAAGGAGAGCCCCGGAACCCACAGGGGCAGCTCTCCCTTAAGGGCTCTTGACAGCCAGCCATCGGCTCCCATGACTTTATAGCTTCAGGAATCCCACAGAAGGGTCACTGTGAGTTGGGATCAAGCTGATAGGAGTGGGGTGTTTTGGGGTTTTTGTTTGGGGGGGGGTAATTAGGCTGTTCCAGGAGCCCTGGTGTCAAAGGGCTGGGTTACAGTGCTGGACTGAGAAAAGAAAGGTTTAGAGTTTGAAGCCACCCGCGGCTGTGCAGAAGGAAGATGAGGCAGGTGCTTCTGTAAAGATGGCAGCCTTGGAAACTCAGTGGACAGGTCCACCCTGTCTTGTCTGGAGGTGAGGGGTCAGGGGTGGTGGGGCTGTGAGTCGGAACCGACTCTATCAGAATGGGGTGACTGAGCGGGGAGAGAGGACGTTCAGACCCTTCCTCGCCCCCCCAATGTGCTGAGTCAGAATGGACTCTGGGCAAGGATGCAGGCACTTGTGCACTCTTCCTTCAGCTGCCTAGGCTCAGAATGCCTGTGAGTGGCTTTTAGAGAAGGGGACACTGAGGCCCAGAAGGGACATGGCTTGTCCAGAGTCAGACTGGGGAGCGGATTGGCTAGGAGGCTGCGACTGGGGCACTCCCAACACCAGCAGCCCACACACCACACTGCTCACCCCATGGCATCTGTGCCCATCCTGCTCGCCCCGCCGGCCCGCTCCCCGCTGACCTGACCAGGGCTGCCTGCAGCTCCTCCTCCTTGCGGCCCAGCTGGGCCCGCAGCTCCTCAGCCCGCTGCTGGTGCTCCACCATCTGCTCCTGCAGCTCGGAGCTCTCACCGTCCAGCCTCCGCTTCAGCTTCTCTAGCTCCTGGCGGCCTTTCTCCTCCTTCCTCAGGCGATCTGCAGCAGGGAGGGGAGGCTACTCACCGGGGCTCCTCACCCGACCCGCTGGGCAGCTCCTCCAGAGACCCCAGCAGTTCCCCCACCCCAGACCTGCTACTCTAGCTTGGGGGACAGCCCCATTGTCCCCTTAGCTCTTGTGCCACCTGCTCCCTCTCTCTGCCTCTTCCTGCTTCCCTTTCGCCATCTCACTCATGCTGTGTCAACAGTAAACGACAGATAATAACATCCAAGATCAGAGGGGGGAACGCTATTAGAGCTTAAATGCAGAACACTCAGTTTGCAGACGGCTGCGGATGGCAGTGACAGCCCAAAAATCATTTGCAAAGTTCCCCAGCAGATTAAGCCTCTACGGAATTCCCTCGGACAGTCTTACCCTCAGATCGACTGCACTAGACAGCCGATGGCATTAAGTTACAATTTAACATATTATCATATGTGTTCCCTTTGGAAGGATTTTTCTTTTTCTTTTTTTTTTTTTTTAGATTTAACTTTAGGGGTTTATTAAAATTATACTTTCTTTCTGGGGGGAAGAGAGGGAGAGGAAGAGAAAGGGGGAGCCGATTGCAAAGATA